ATGTATGATTTGCATTTGTATGAGTGTTTTTGAGTTTCACATTTAAATTTCTATAGGAATCATTGAGGTTATGTTTTTTCTTTTTTGTTTTCTTTATATTTAATTTTTATACCCTTTACCACACTGTGGCATAGGGTATTAGTATTAATATATGGCACAGTGGAGTTGGAAGCTGAGTTATTGTATGTTTTTCTTTAATTATTTATAACAAATAAAAAAATCTTGAAAATTTCATTTCAATCAGTGTGTTTCTGTTTGTAACAATTTTTTTCTTTAGGAATATTAAAAAATATTATTGCAGTTGAAAAAAAAAATTATGGAACAAAAAAATGTATTTAACTGGGAAGACGACAATTTTATAGGATGTTTTTTAACGTTTTATAAATAGTTATATAAAAAATAATAAACATTACAAAAAATAAAATAAAATACCAAAAATAAAACATTACAAAAAATATATAAAATTACAAAAAAAAAAAATAATAATAATAATAATTATAAATAATCACAATTGGTAGTAAATAATGTGTGTGTGTTTTTATCTGTTTTCAGTTTTTTTCCATTTAAATAAAATAAAGAAATTCTTAAAAATAATAATTCTACATTTTAAGTATTAGTAACAAACAAAAAAAATAATAATGTTGTGAAAAAAGAATTAATTAATAATAAAAAACCTATATATATAGAATTTTTTCGTATTTTTTCCGGACTTAACTAAATAACGAAAACATTTTTGTGTGTGTTTTTCTTGTTGTTGTGTGTAATTATAAATAATGTTTAAACAAAAGAGAAAGTTTTTTTTTTTTTTAAATGAAAAAATATAAATTGCAGAACATTTAGAAGAAGTGTGAAGAAAATAAATTAAAAAAAAATCCTATTTTATTGCAGTGCAATAATAAATAAAAACAATTTTGATATTTTTTAAATATAAAAATTATTAATTTTTTTGATAGTGTACTATGATAAAAATATGTATTTTTTTGAAAATCATTTTTGTGCAGTGTACTATATATATATATATATTTTCTTCCGAAAATGTAGTTATTTTTCAATATGTTTTACAGTGAAATAATTTTTATATGATTTTTTAGTAATTAAGAAAAAATGGATTTTTAATACAAAATTTTAAACATTTTTATATATTTTACATATATTAAAAAAATATGTATTTCAAATGAAGAAATGTATTAAAAATATTTTTCCAGTGTATTAATATTTTTAAATATCTTTATTTTTTTAATATTTTTAATTAATTACAAAATTATATAAAAATTTTAAATTGAATAATTATTTCAATAATTGTTCTGATATGGACTTTAAATTGGCCTTTATATATACCTTATTCTCTCAGAAGACTCTTGTTAGAGATGAGATCTTATACAAGTCGACTGACTATATACAGAGACGTTTGCGATAGATATTCTTTGTATGGGGAAACACTTGCATAGGCCTTGCATAGGCCTTCCATAGACCAAGGTTAGATCAAGGTCTAAATTATATAATGAAAATCTTAGGGGCTCCTCTGAGGCCTTGTCTATTCTTGGAAGAGTCATAAAATGCCTGTTTTTTTGGAAATCCAAAGTCTCTTTCGTGGTAAGAAAAATGTATTCCCTTCTAGGTTATGAATCTTTGAGGAATTTATTGATACACAGAAAACCTTCTGAAGGTCTCACACTCACAGAAGACTCTCGATACTTATGATACCTTCTACAAGGCCTTCTATATACAAAAGACCTCCTAAGTGGACTATCAGAATGAACTCAAAAGGTCATTTTCATATAAAAAAAATAATTTTATAACCCTTCTATAATTAGAGGTCGCCCTCACAGTGATTGAAATTTATATACAGAAAATGTCTGAGGGGACAAGTTTTCTTCTGTCATAGAATACAAGATCTATAGACCGTATCTGGGGTACAATAATCTTGAAGATGTCTTACTTCCGACATCAGAAAGTCGTATGCATTTTTTACCCCGCACAAAGAGCTCTTATAATCGTGGATGGTCTTTTAAAGCTAGAAAATTCCCTCTATAAAATCTAGATATCATTTATAGGTCATTTACGGAGATATGACTTTCTTATGTTGGAAGTAAGTTATCGTCGGAATTTACATGCCCAAAATACCGTCTATAGATCTTGCTTTTCTATGACATAAGAAAACTTGTCATGGAACATTAGAATATTTTTTCTGTCATAGAAGTTGGGTTGTTTTCCTGGTCATACCAGGCCATACCTTCTTTATAATAAGGGAACCCTCTATAAAAGTGCAACATCGGAAGGACCCCTCAAATGGCCTAATAGATGTCTTTTTATAAAGGTTTTAGACTTTCCATATAAATATGATATCGATCCCTGCCAGGCATCTAATCGACCTATTGTAGGTTTTCTACATCATAGGCCTTCTAGAAGATTTTCTGTGAGGCATCAGAGCATTGGAGAGTCTCTAGAGGTCTCACTATAAACGTATGGTATGTAAATCTTCTATAGCCATATCATACCTTCAGGATACCTCTGAGGTCCCTGTGAAATTATTTATTTTATTAGAAGAGGAGGAGATGAAAGAGACATATTTCTATGTTTTTAATCGCGTTGATAGCTTTCTGGTCGTTTAAAGAACATTTAGCAAGTCTATATAAACCAGGGATGCACGCCCTTGCACTCTAGCGGTCAGCTCAACTCACACGGATTCTTACGCTCATTTGTTTAGTCGCCGTTGAGACTTCAACGAGTAAACATGTCTATGGTGGTGTGCATAATTTTGCGGCTACGCTTAAGCGGCCCACACACGTCAAATATGTACGTTTGACGATGTGAAGCTCCTAGGCCACAAACATAGCAACAAAACTTCATTTCGAATTTGGTTTTTGAAGATGGACAGCGATAGGGACGACGTAAAAAAGGCCGACCTTTTTTATTTAATTAAATTCTTTTAATTTCATTCACACCGATGGATCGCACATGTTTAACGTGTGTGGGCCGCTTTAGCTTTGTGTACTAGTCTCACACATACATATACAAATTGCCATCCTCTCACCGTGTGCATCACTGATATAAACTGTAAAACATTTGGACTTTACTCTACAATAAGAAAAATATACACTGCAAAAAATACACTCGTTGGAATTCCAATATTTTTTCATACACTGCAAAAATTATAACTGCCAAAAATCTGGTTATTTAAAATTTCAATACACTGAAAAATACACTTTTTTTGCAAATTAAAAAAATGAATTTTTTGCTTTTTTGCAAAATTTGAAAAGTACAATGCAAAAAAAGTTTTTATTTTTTTTTTAAATTATACACTGTAAAAAATTAGTTTTGAAATTTACAAATAAGAATTTTCAATTGTTTTACTTGAATTAAACGTATATGTCCACTATAAAAAATCCACTGCAAAAATATTTTTGAAATTACAAAAAAACATGTGCAAAATTTTTAAAATACACTGCATTTTGGTTTTTTTTTTTGAAAATTTAAAAAATATATTGCAAAAAATTTAGGGGAAAAATAAAAAAACAAGAAAAAAACACTGGAAAATTGTTTTGAAATTTACAATCAAAACTGTTTTTATATTTTATAAAAAGTACACTGCAAAAAAAGTATTTTCAAAATTTACAAAAAAAAAAAAAAATTTAATTGATTCTTACTTTTTTCATATAAAATTCATTTTAACAATATTTTAACTCAAAAAATACACTGTAAAAAATTATATTCTTTTGAGATAAAAATTTTATAGCAATAAAAAATACAAAATAAATGTATGTTCTAATTTTTTATATACTGTAAAAAATATCAATTAAAAAATAATAATTTGTTATTGTTGTGAATTTGTTGTTCTGTCACCTGTTTTTGTCTTCCGTCTTCTAAAGAAACAAATTTAAAAAAATAATAAAAATTATTACCAAGTTTAGAGTCCTTTTCGAAAAGACTAGTTGCTCTTTTGTTGAAACACTGCTTCTTCTTATACATACAAACACACCTTTGTGTGTATGTATGTGTGTATCATTAATAATTATGTGATAGAAAAATATGAACTTAGTAGGTCAATAAAAAAAATATTAAAACAAAGCTTAGGTTTAGTTTGGGGAGGCGGGGGCCATTATAAAAAATTATGGAGGTAACTTTTTTCTTCAAAGAAAAAATTTAAACCTAAGCTTTTTTTAAAGGAGTAAATGTATGTGTGTGTAGGTGAGTAAGTGTGTCGATGAGTGTGTATGTGTGATTTTTTCAAAAAATTATTGAGTGATCGTTAATTGGATTTTTTTTGTTTGTATGAAAAACTAAATCTATTAAAAATCGGCTTAAACATACACTAACTAACATCTTTTTCTCTTAGTGTATATCCATTTTTTTCTTTTGCTTTCTTTCTTAGTTTTCTTTATAAAAAAAATATATTGTAACTCTTCCGAAAAGGAAGAGGGTTTAAAAAAATCCGATTAATAATTATAAACATTATTTTATAATTCTTCATGTAGCTGTTGTTGTTTCTTGTTTGTATACATAAGTAAGTTTGTGTAGTTGTTGTTGTGGTTATTGCTGATGATAATGTTGTTGTAGTTGTTGTTGTTGGTGTGGTTGTTGTAGTGGTTATTGCTGATATTATCATAGAGATCCGAATATTGAGTGTATATGAGGATGTATGGGTATTGCGTGCGACAGTGTTGGTGGTGGACCCGAAGTTGGTGGTGGCGGTGCCGCTGGCTGTTGACTATGGGCATGGGCCGTATTGACCACATGCCCACCACCACCACCCGGCTGCTGTTGATGATGGTGGGCAGCTGCTGCCGCTGCGGCTGCTGCAGCAGAGGCCGGCAAAGCGCCCACAGGCGGTAAGGTTATGGACAATGTTACCGTTTGTGGAGTTTGACTATGGGCAGCCGCCGCTGCGGCCGCCGCCGATGCACTACCATGCTGACCCACCTGTTGCTGCTGTTGCTGTTGCGAAGGATGCGAGGAATTATGCCCTGCCGCTGCCGACACTGTCGATGTGCCCTGTTGTCCACCAGCCCCCGCCACCGTTGTTGTCGTGGTGGAGGGATGTCACTGGGCCACTACCACCGATGTTGGGGCATTTTGCTGCCCCACAACTCCGGGTGCCACCGAATTGGCCACACTTACCGATACCGCCGATGGTCCATTGTTGTGCGCAGCCGTTGGCTGTTGAAACGGATGCTGGAATGGTGGTCCATAACACTGGGGGAAATACAATTCGTTTTTCACCTGTGATCCGGGATTGGGCACACCGCCCACACCACCCATGCCACGCGGCAGAATATTATTTTTATTGTCACCCGCCGGATTGTTGTTGTTATTGAGAAATTGTTGAGCTGCAGCGTTTTTGGTTTCATTGATTAAATGATTGGCGGCAGCAGCGGCTGCGGCCGCCGATGCAGCAGCAGCTGCGGCATGTGAATTGTTGTTATTGGCGTTATTGTTGGCATTGTTGTTGTTGTTCTGGCTGCTATTGGCGGTATTGTTCGCCTGGCGGCTGCGTTTTGTTGTCGGATTCATGTGATTGTCAATGTGTTTGGTCACTTCGTTTTCGGTGGCGAAGCGTCGTCGACAATTTGGCATGGGACAGCAGAAGGGACGATCACCCTGGATAGAGAGAGGGAGAAAAAACAAACTTATTAGTAAATAATTAAAACAAAAACGTATGGACCCGAAGATGTATTCGGAAGGTATCCTGGGACCTTCAAATTTCATCTGCGAACAGTAGATGTCTTCTGGTGACATCTACTCAACCGTCGAAGTCTTCGGATGACATCTACTTAATCGCATATGGCTTCAGATGACCTCCACTGAATCGTAGATTGCTTCGGATCACTTCCACTTCATCGTAGATACCTTCAAATGACCTCTACATAACCTTAAATGCACTCTATTTGAATCTATATACCTCATCGTAAATGACATCAATAGAACTTTACGGAATCGTAGATGTCTTCGGAACACTTCTACTTTGTGGTAGATACCTTCGGATGACCTCTACTCAACCTTAAATGACCTCTATTTAAATCGATATATCTTTCGACGACCTCTACTTAACTGTAGATGGCTTCCGATCACGTCCGAACCTTAGATGACTTCTATTTGAGTCTATATACCTTCCGATGTCCTCTACGTCATCGTAAATGGCTTCATATGACATCCACTGAATCCCAAATGGCTTCGGAGCACTTCCACTTTATCATAGATACCTCTAGATGACCTCTGCCGAACCTTAGATTACCTCTATTTGAATTTATATACCTTCTGATAACCTCTACTTCATCGTAAATGGCTTCAGATGACCTCGTAGATGCCTTCCGATCATATCCACTTCATTGTAGATACATTCGGATGACCTCTAAATAACCTTATATGCCCTCTGTTTGAATCTACATACCTTCCGCGACCTCTACTTCATCGTAAATGACTTCGGATTGCTTCCACTTCGTTATTGATACTTTAATGACCTCTACGGAAACTATGATTGTCTCTATTTGAATCTATATACCTTCCGATGTCCTCTACTTCAACGTATATGGCTACCGATGACATCAGTTCTCACTTAGATTTCAGTTAATGACGTTAGAAGCCATATACTGACCAGTAGATAAAGTCTGAACTCATTTACTGCCCAGTAAATGAAGTCGGATCTCATCTACTGACCAGTAGATTAAGAAGGGACTTATCTACTGGCCTCTAGATGACATCGGAACTCATATACTCTCCAGTAGATGAACTCAGGTCACATATACTTATCTTCTACGAAGTAGGAGTGGACATGCCACCTCAAGAGCCATCTTAATGGCCTCAGAATTCATATACAGCCATGTAGACGACCTCAAGGATCAGATTTTGTTAAGTAGTGACCTTAGGGCACATACTCAATAAAGAATACGACCTCAGGTCTCGTATTTTAGCAAGTAGGTTACCTCTAGACACACCGATTTTGAAGTATATGACCTCAGGGGCCATCTATTTTCATTAGATGACTTCAGGCCTATTCACTGCCAATTAGGAGACCTTATCTCCATCGACGATCTATTATTAATTCGATGACTTCAGGAACCATCTACTATCAATTAGGAGAACTCAAAGTCAACTATGTTTACCTCAGGTCCCGCCATTGTCAAGTTTGTGGCTTCACACCACCTCCATTGTCAAGTAGATAACCTCAGGTCACCTCCATTATCAAGTAGGCAACCTCAGACCAGTTCCGCTGTGAAGTAAACGCATTCACTGCCAAGTAGATAACCTCAGACCACCAACACTACCACGTAGATAACCTCAGGTCATTCTATTATCAAGGAAACACCCTCAGGCCACCTCCAGAATCAAGTAAATAACCTCAGGACACCTCCATAGTTATGTATATAAGCTCAGAACACCGCTATTGTCATGTAGATAACCTCAGGCTACATCCAATGCTACGTAGATAATCTCAGGTAACCTCCATGGTCATGTGTATAACCTCAGGTCATCTCCATTATGATGTAACCTCAGGCCACCCCCACTGTCAAGTATATAACCTCAGTTCACCTCCAGTGCCACGTAGATATCTTCAGGCCTACTATATTGTCAAGTGTATAACTTCAAGTCACCTCCATTATCTAATAAATAATCTCAGAGTTTTCGTCGGATGACTTCGAATCTTATTTACTATAAAGTGAATCACCTTCGGAGCTCATCTCCTTTTAAGGTAATCTTAGACCATCTTCCCTAAAATAATGACATCCGATTTCATCCTTCATGGAGTTGATGACCTCTAAATAGAGAACTATCCCCCCATTTTCTATACATCCTTAATATACCACTACCTGGTGGGTCCGTGTATGCTGATCCAATATCGCCTTCTGACGGAAATCTTTGCCACACTGGCCGCACTTGTAGGGCTTCTCGCCGGTATGGATGCGGACATGCTGAAAAAGAAAGAAAATAAGTTTCAATATTGGAACCTTAATTCTTATCTATTATGTCCCGCCCTCCTCACCTGATTCAAAATCGTTCTCTGCCGGAAGAAACGCGGACAATACAGACATCCGAATGGCTTCTCATTCGTGTGGATGCGCAAATGCTGGGTCAAATGTGATTGCTGGCGGAAACGTTTGCCGCACTCGGGGCAGGGATAGGGACGCGATTCGATATGTATGCAACCGTGTTGCAGCAGTGTCGTCTTCTGTTTGAATTCCTTATCACAAATCGGACAGCGTACGTAGAGCGGCATATTGGCCGGACGGATACCGATGTGTGAGAGGACATCGGGTAAGATTTTTTGTCCTAAAGGGGTGGGGAGACAAAGAAAAAAGGGAAATTAGTTATTTCTTTAGGAAGGCGATATTCTCCAGACCCACTACCTTTACCATCCTTAAAGTAGGCGGGATAATGTATACCTCCATCTTGACCATTCTGTGAATCATCATCGTTATAGCCATCATTGGCAATGCCATTCTTTGTGTCAGTCTCATCGCCCGGATAGGGTACATCTTGGGGCCACAATGTCGGATGGGGTCCGTTTTTGAATATGAGATGGGGTGAAACATCTGTGGGGAAGAGATAGAAAAGAATCTAATGATAATCTGAGGCAAATTATGGTGGAGTGAGACATCTAACTAAGCTACTCTAGAGAGGTGGGGGTTGTATGGAGCCAAGCTAAGTGCTTCAGCACTCTCTGGTATTTTTTTTTTTTAGGGTTTTGATTTTTTTTGTAAATAGAGGTAGGTAGAAGTTTTGAGAGACTTACAGTAAAATTTTGAAAAGGTTTTGCCAGATGTTTTAGTTTTTTCTTATCTTATAGATCTTCCCAAAATAATGACCTTAAGAGGAGGAGCTCATCGGAAATTCAGAGAATTTGGAATTTTTATTTTTTGTATAGCCTAAAGGTAGGCACTTTTGCCAAGAAATTTTTGAGCCTATGAACCTGAAGATGCCAGCCAATTGGAAATTTTGAATTTTCAGCCTAAAAGTATGCACTCTGAATGGTCCAGAGCCAGCCGGGGAGCCGATTGGAGATTTAGAGAGTTATTATTTTTTCGCCTGGAATTTGTAAAGGCCAGGGCTTGCTAGCCAATTGGAAATGTTGAGAATTTTAATTATTTTCCATCCTAAAAATATGCACTTCGAAGAGTTCAAAGGCTGTCAGGGAGCCAATTGGAGATTTAGAGAGTTTTTAGATAACCTCAGTCTAACTCCATTGCCAAGTAGACGACCTCAGGCCACCTCCATTGTCAAGTAGATAACCTCAGACCACCTTCATGCTCAAGTAGATAACCTCTGGATACCTCGATGGTCAAGTAGGTAATCTCAGGTTACCTCATTGTCAAGTAGATAACCTCTGGACACCTCCATGGTCAAGTACGTAACCTCAGGTTACCTCATTGTGAAGTAGATAACCTCAGGCCACTTCCATGCTCAAGTAAATAACCTCTGGACACCTCCATGGTCAAGTAGGTAACCTCAGGTCACCCCCATACCCAAGTAGATAACCTCTGGACACCTCCATGCTCAAGTAGGTAAACTCAGATTACCTCATTGTCAAGTATATAACCTCAGTCTACCTCCATGCTCAAGTAGATAACCTCTGGACACCTCCATGGTCAAATAGGTAACCTCAGGCCACCTCCATTGTCAAGTAGATAACTTCAGGCCACCTCCAAGCTCAAGTAAATAACCTTTGGATACATTCATGGTCAAGTAGATAACCTCAGGCCACCTCCAATCTCAAGTAGATAACCTCTGGACACCTCCATGCTCAAGTAGGTAACCTCTGGACACCTCATTGTCAAGTAGATAACCTCAGGCCACCTCCATTGTCAATTAAATAACCTCAGGCTACGTTTATTGTCAAGTAGATAATCTCAGGGCACCTCCATGCTGAAGTAGATAACTTCTGGACACCTTCATGGTCAAGTAGATAACCTCAGGTTAGCTCATTGTCACGTAGGCAACCTCCATTGTCAAGTAGATAACCTCAGGTTAGCTCATTGTCACGTAGGCAACCTCCATTGTCAAGTAGATAACCTCAGGCCACCTCCATGATAATGTAGATAACCTCTGGACACCTTCTTGGTCAATTAGGTAAACTCAGCCTAAAAGTTGCCCTTTAATTTTAATTTTTTTTTCAGCCTAAAAGTATGCACTGCGAAGGGTCCAGAGGCTGCCAAGGAGCCACTGGGTGATACAGATTTTTTTTAAATATGATTTCCAGCCTAAAAATGTGCCGGAGAGGTTACCAGAGTATTCCGATTCTATTTTGTTTAATGTTTAATTTTTGCAGCCTAAAAGTATGCAAGGCGAACGAGTCTATTTTTTACCCTCTCTCTCTCCTTAAAGTCATTATTCGAGGAAAATCAGCCAATTCCTTGATAACAAAGTGCTTCACACACAGAGAATTTTCCAGATTTTGAATTTTCCAATTTTTTTTCCAATTTTTCAAAACAATAATCGAATTTTGATTTTTTGAGGCCGAAAAGTGGGGGGTTTCATTTTGCCCTAAACTGTAACTCTCAGGTGATCTCAACTAATTTTTTTCTGTTTCTCATTTTTTTTTGGATTTTTTTGTTTTTGTATTCAAGAACTGTCGCTCGCCTTGGTGGGTTCGCACATGTTGATTAAGGATGGCCTTCTGGCGAAAGTGCTTGCCGCACTCGGGACACGCAAAGGGCTTCTCACCCGAATGGATGCGAACATGTTGATTGAGTATTGCCCGCTGGCGAAAGCCTCGATTGCAGTAGCCGCACGTGAACGGCTTCTCATTGGCATGGATGCGCAGATGCTGGGTCAGATGCGATTGTTGGCGAAAACGTTTGCCACACTCGGAGCAGGGATACGGCCGGGCATCGGTGTGTATGCGATCATGTTGCAGCAGGGTACTTTTCTGTTTGAAATCTTTGCCACAGGTTAGGCATTTGAAGAGTCGCAGATCACTGTGAGGTTTGGGGGGTTTATGGCTACGACCACTACCACCTCCTCCGCCGCCGCCTCCACCACCTCCCGTACCGGTGCCATTGCTGGTTGTATTATTTTGATGTCCCCCGGTGCCACCAGCACCACCATTCTGTTGCTGACCATTGGCTGAGCCATTCTGTCCCGGCAGTAGCTCGGGCAAGGCATATGCATCCATATTGGGTCCATTACCTGCTCCCTGATCCATTGCGCCATTTAAACCCGGCAGCACAGGTTTATTGAGATAATGTAACGGTGGGAAACCGGGTGGTGCCATAAGGCCACCTTGGGCGCCAGGATGTCGGGGGGCATAATAGCTGGACAATTCACCATTTTGGGAGCCAGGAAAACCATTATTGCCATGATCATTGGCCTGGCCATTCTGCTGGACATTGTGCGGATTATTCCCCGCCGGGTTATTGTCGGATGACGAGGCGGCATTGGCATTTTGCTGCTGCTGCTGATGGGGATCATTTGAGCTTTGGTTTGGATTTGATTGTGGATTGGAATTTGGTTGCTGCAGACCATTGACCTGGAAAGATAAATAGAGAGAGGGGAGGAGAGAGAAAGAGAGGGAGAAAATATTAAAATGTGCCATATTATCTGAATAAAATATTATTTTACATTTGTAGATAAATTATCTATGTTAAGAAAAACTAAAAAAATATTTTCTAAAATTTGGATATTTTATCTAGATAAATTATCTACATTATCTAAGTTTTAAAGAAGCATTTCTGTGTATATAGATAATTTATACACGTTATCCCGAGTTTTTCGAATCAGTTTTAGTACTAAAAAACGTTTAGATAAATTATCTAAATTTTGCGGACACTGCAGATACTTTTCAAATCCATAGATAAGTTATCTACGCCTCATAAAATTATTTTTAGTTTATTTAAATTGTGTAGATAAATAATCCAAAATTTTTTAATGAACATCCAGCCCTCTTGGAATTATCTAGATAAATTATCTATTTTATCTAAAACTTACAGAAGTGTTTTGAGCCGTGCAGAAAAATTATAGACGTTATTCTAACTTTTTAAAAGCAGCTTTAGTGCTAAAACATAGTATAGATAAATTATCTTAATTCCCCTAACCTTAAAGATAAATTTCAAACATATAGATAAGTTATCTAAACCTGATAAAATGATTCTTAGATTATTAAATTTGTGCCCTTCGATACTTTTAATGGATTTTCAGCCCTCTATGAATTATCAAGATAAATTATCTATGTTATCTTAACCTCAAGGATGCATTTTTTAGCCGTGCACATGCATTATAGACGTTATCCCGACATTTTAAAAGCACTTTTAGTACTAAAATATTTTATAGATAAATTATCTAAATTTTCCCGAGCTTGTAGATACATTTCGAATGCATAGATAAGTTATCTAAACCACATAAAATGATACTTAGATTATTAAAATTGTGTTCTTCGACACTTTTAATAGATTTTTCAGCCCTCATGGAATTATCTAGATAAGTTGTCTATGCTATCTTTAGCTCAAGGAAACATTTTTAGGCATGCAGATAAATTCTAGACGTTATCCCGACATCTTAGAAGCACTTTTAGTACTAAAATATCTTATAGATAAATTATCTAAATTTTCGTATCTTGTAGATACGTTTCGAATCCGTAGATAAGTTATCTAAACCTCATAAAATGTTTCTTAGATTATTAAAATTGTGTTCTTCGACACTTTTAATGAATTTTCAACCCTCTATGAATTATCTAGATAAATTATCTATGCTGTCGTAAGCTCAAGGAAACACTTTTAGGCGTGCAGATACATTATAGACGTTATCCCGACATCTAAGAAGCAGTTTTAGTGCTAAAACATTGTATAGATAAATTATCTAAATTCCCCTATCCTTAAAGATAAATTTCAAACATATAGATAAGTTATCTAAACCTCCTAAAATGATTCTTAGATTATTAAAATCTAGTTCTTCGACACATTTAATGGATTTTCAGCCCTCTATGAATTATCTAGATAAATTATTTATGTTATCTTAACCTCAAGGAGACATTTTTAGGCGTGCATATACATTATAGACGTTATGCCGACATCTTAGAAGCACATTTAGCACTAAAATATTTTATAGATAAATTATCTAAACTTTCCCGAGCTTGTAGATACATTTCGAATGCAAAGATAAGTTATCTAACCCTCATAAAATGATTCTAAGATTATTAAAATTATGTTCTTCGGCACTTTTAATGGATTTTCAGCCCTCTATGAATTATCTAGATAAATTATCTATGTTATCTTAAACTCAGGGAAACATTTTTAGGCATGCAGATACATTATAGACGTTATCCCGACATCGTAGAAGCACATTTAGTACTAAACTATTTTATAGATAAATTATCTAAATTTTCCGAACCTTGTAGATACATTTTGAATGCATGGATAAGTTATCTAAACCTCATTACATGATTCTTAGATTATTAAAATTGTGTTCTTCGACACTTTTTTCTGCCCTCTATGAATTATCTAGATAAATTATCTATGTTATCTTAACCTCAAGGAGACATTTTTAGGCGTGCATATACATTATAGACGTTATGCCGACATCTTAGAAGCACATTTAGCACTAAAATATTTTATAGATAAATTATCTAAACTTTCCCGAGCTTGTAGATACATTTCGAATGCAAAGATAAGTTATCTAACCCTCATAAAATGATTCTAAGATTATTAAAATTATGTTCTTCGGCACTTTTAATGGATTTTCAGCCCTCTATGAATTATCTAGATAAATTATCTATGTTATCTTAACCTCAAGAAAACATTTTTAGGCGTGCAGATACATTATATACGTTATTCCGACATCTTAGAAGCACTTTTAGTACTGAAATATTTTATAGATAAATTATCTAAATTTTCCGGACCTTGTAGATACATTTCGAATGCATAGATAAGTTATCTAAACCTCATAAAATGATTCTTAGATTATTAAAATTGTGTTCTTCGACACTTTTTTCTGCCCTCTATGAATTATCTAGATAAATTATCTATTTTATCTTAACCTCAAGAAAATTTTTAATCATGCAGATACATTATAGACGTTATCCCGACATCTTAGAAACACTTTTAGTACTAAAATACGTTATAGATAAATTATCTAAATTTTCCGGACCTTGTAGATACATTTCGAATGCATAGATAATTTATCTAAACCTCATAAAATGATTCTTAGATTATTAAAATTGTGTTCTTCGACACTTTTAATGGATTTCCAGCCCTCTTGGAATTATCTAGATAAATTATCTATGTTATCTTAACCTTATTAGAAGCACTTTTAGTATTAAAATATTTTATAGATAAATTATCTAAATTTTCTGGATCTTGTAGATACATTTCGAATGCAAAGATAAGTTATCTAAACCTCATTAAATGATTCTTAGATTATTAAAAATGTGTTCATCGACACTTTTAATGGATTTTCAGCCCTCTATGAATTATCTAGATAAATTATCTATGTTGTCTTAACCTTAAGGAAACATTTTTAGGCGTGCAGATTTTTAGTTCAATAAAATTCTGTAGGTAAATAACTCGTCATTCTCAAAGCGTTTTCCACCTTCTTTGAATTATCTAGATAAATTATCTATGTTATCTACATCTCAAGGAAACATTTTTAGACGTACAGATAAATTATGTTCGCCTTACGAACTTCTTATTATGTTATTCGACACTTTTTATCCATTTCCAGTTTTCTATGAATTATCTAGATAAATTATCTATTTTATCTAAATCTCGAAGAACGTACATATAAATTATTCTCGCCGTACGAACCTCTTAGAGTGCTAACAAGTTATATAGATAAATTATCTACACTTTCCGGTCCTTTATCTGTAAGCTCTAAAGCTTAGATAAAATATTTAAACCTTATAAAATGATTTTTAGTTTATTTATATGGTGTATATAAATTATCCGATATTTTTTAAGGGATTTGCAACACACTTGGAATTATCTAGATAAATTATCTACCTTATCTAAACCTAAAACATCCATTTTTAGGTGTGTAGATAAGTTATAGACGTTATCCCAAGCTCTTAAAAGCCGTTTTAGTGCCGAAAAATTGCATAGATAAATTATCTGAATTATCTGCAAGATAATTTTTTTACTATAAACTGTACGAATATGTTCTCCAGACCTCATAGAACGATTTTATTGTTATTCCAATTCTTTAGATAAATGATTCATCTTTTTTAGATAATTTATCTACCTCATTATTTACGGTATCTACAACTTCCTTACTCACCTGATTCATATTCACATCATCATCATTGGTTCCGTTTGTTCTCTGCTGTTGTTGTTGCTGCTGCTGTTGCTGTTGTGGCGGGTATGGACTGGTCGAGGGTGAACCCTGTTGTCTACCAGTTCCCCCCGCCCCACCACCACCATCCGCACCACCATTTTCACGACCATGTGGATCACCACCACCATTGGGTGAATGTGATGTTGGACCATTTGATGCGCCCGCCTGGCCATTTGCCGTAATGGCATTTTGTTGTTGTGCACTCAAGTGTTGTTGTTGTATGCCAGGATACATTTCGGTGCCCCATTGTCCTGGGGTACCACCAATTGCGGCGGCATTTCGTTCAGCTTCCTGGGAATCTTTATAGAGGACATAGGGCTGACCGGTGTCCTGTGTGATGCAATACATTATTTGACGTGGCACTTTGAGGCCGGCGGCTATGCAGGCCGCAAACGAGGCTGAGAAGTTGATTGCCATTTTGTGGGCTGCTTCTTCTTCTTCCTCGTATTTTTCTTTGTGGGTGGGTGTTTTTTTAATTTATCAGTTGCTTGTCGTGGGTTTAGGTCTTAGCTAAACCTCGGTTTTAATTCTCTCTTTCTTTTGGGTTTCGTTTTCTCTTCGGGTTTTCTTGTTGTTGTGATAATCTCAAACTCTCCCCTTTTAGGGAGAGCCTCAGTGATAACTACTCAAATTCATATTTGGTGAGAGAGAATTCGTTGAATTTAAGTATTAATTACTCTCTCTCTCTTTTGTGTTCACTTATCTTATGTTCACTCTCTTGAATTGCTGTTACTCTTGTTCTCCTTTCTCTCTCTTTTCTTGAAGGGGTTGATTTTTTTTCGTTACTCTTTTAATAAAACAAAATTTCTGGTTCTTCGTGTTTTGCCGTTTTCTGTTTGGGTTTTCTTTGTGGGTTTGTTTTGGTTTTTCTTTATCTTCTTTTATTATTCCTTTCTTCTTAGTTTGATTTTTATTATTATTTCTTCTTCTTTGTTAAAAAATTATTATTTTTTAATTTTTATTTTTTACCAAAATGGGATTTTGTTTTGAAAATTGTGGGGGTTTTGGTTTCTCTATGCCAAGTGGTTCAGATAAAAAATGTGTTCTCTTTGTTTTCTCTTTCTCTCAGCTAATCGCTCAATTACTGTTAAATTCGTAAAGACTCCAGAGAATGTGGGGTTTCAACTGCAAAGAGAAAAGACAAATTGAGGAAAAATTAACAAGAGTGGATTTTTTAAAAGTATTTCTTAGAGGTCCACCCAGAAGCGTGGATTTTTTAAAAGTACTTCTTAGAGGTCCACTCAAAGGCATGGATTTTTTAAAAGTACTTCGTAGAGGTCCACCCAAAGGCGTGGATTTTTTAAACGAACTTCTTAGAGGTCCACCCAAAGGCGTGGATTTTTTAAAAGTACTTCTAAGAGGTCCACCCAACGGCGAGGATTTAAAACCAAAAAAAATTAAATTAACCTCATTTACCGACATTTAAAATTTAATTGCTTAATCCTCCCCCATCCGATATCTGAATTCATTATTTTAATTATTTTTTTGTATAGAAAAAAAAAAATGATTTCAAGTTCATTGCCAAGAATTGTCCTGATTAATATGCAGTAGGCATTCCATGCATAAATAAGGTTTGAAGATAACAAAAACTGCAACAAGAAAAAAATTGACATGACTTCAATATGGTCTGGGAATGAAGACATTGAAGTAGTACCTAACCCATTGGGTGCCTCATAAAAATTATTTTACAAAACTAAGAATAAACAAGTGAAAAAGCGTTAAGTTCGGCCGGGCCGAACTTTGGATACCCTCCACCATAGATATACTGACAGATACTTGAAATGAAAATATAGGGAACAAAAAGTGGCCTTTTTACAAACTGATTATGTAAACCATAATGTACACCAAATACAAATTTCAGCAATTTTTAATAGATATTTATACCCTCAGTCATATGGCTAATGAGGATGTATACACTTTTATACAGTCAAAATGTGCCTCATCGAAATATTGGTTCTAGATCCCAAGTTTCTTTGGACCAAATCCGTTTCAGAAAATTTGGATTTCATCCAAACTTTGACTATCTTATTATTTCTTCCAAACTTAGTTCAAGTTCGAAGATGGGGAATATCGGTCCACTCCTTCTGGTACGTCCAACACAGGGGGTAGGCCTAAATCCGGGCTATAGTTCATTATCGAACCTTACGTTCTAGTTTTTTATCTCGATATCCCCCGCAGTTGAAATGATTACAACAGAGTCTTAGAACCAAACCCAAAACGCGGAACAAATTAGATAACTATTTTAATATAAAAAAGAGGGTTATATGGGGACTACCCCAAAAAGGGGGCGAATATTAAAAATTTGTTGGTAGGGAGATTTGTTACCACATACGACTACAAAATAACAAATTGCAGTGAATTCGGTTGAAAAACGCGCTCAAGAACACCAAAATACCGAAAATTGGGGGTACCCTTATATGGAGGCTACCCGAAAAATGGGCCCATATTCATAACTTTTTGTGGAGAGATTTGGAACCTATTAAGAACTCAAAATACAAAATTACAGCCAATTCGGTGGAAAAATACCCCCAAAATACTGAAAATTCGGAGGTACCTTTATGTGGGGGCTACCAGAAAAAGTGGACCTATATTTATAATTTTCTGTGGAGACATTAAGTACCCAATAAGAACCTGATGCACCAAATTTCAGCGAATTCAGTTGAAAACCGTGCTCAAGAAACCCAAAATACCGAAAATTGGGGAGACCCTTATATGGGGGCTACCCGAAAAAATGGGCCCATATGCATAATTATTTGTGGAGAGATTTGGAGCCTATTAAGAACTCAAAATACAAAATTACAGCCAATTCGGTGGAAAAACTACGATCAAAACCCCCCAAAATACTGAAAATTCGGAGGTACCGTTATATGGGGGCTACCATAAAAAGTGGACCTATATTTATAATTTTTTATGGAGACATTTAGTACCCAATAAGAACCCAATGTACCAAATTTCAGCGAATTCGGTTGTAAAACGCACTCAAGAACCCCACAATACCGAAAATTGGGTAGTACCCTTATATGGGAGCTATGCCTAAACTTGCAGACAAAAGACAACCCTATGCAAAATTTCAGCACCCTATCTCAATTCCTTCAGAAGATAGCGTGATTACAACAGACGGACAGACGGGCATGGCTAGATCGTTTTAGAATTTTACCCTGATCAAGTATATTTATACTTTATAGGGTCGGAACTGAATATTTCGATGAGTTACAAACGGAATGACAAAATTAATATACCCTCCATACTATGGTGGAGGGTATAAAAACCAAAACAACATTAGAGGGTAACAAAAGGCCCAACATTCTAGATTCAACTCAGTACGCTATGTCAAATTTCGTGCAAGTAGAAGAATATATAGGGACTTTGGTGCACTATTTACCTAAAAAAGGACGTAAAATCGGACGAATATAAATGAATATGTGAGAGCTATATAGAAACCGGAATCGATCCTAAACTTACCACACATCATTTTAGGCTCAATTCAATACGCTGTGACAAATTTCGTGCTAATCAAAATATATATAGGTACTTTGGTACACCATTTACATTAAATCGGACGAAAATTTTATGGGAGCTATATCTAAATCTGAATCGATTTCCAAGAAATTATTATATTATTATCTGATCATCACCGAAAATTAAAGGCGTTGTCCTTGACCATACCTGGGTCTTCATGGAAAATTTCAAAGCGATCAGCGCTATATTTCCGCCCTCTTGTGTGGTAATGGGTTACTAAGCACCTGTAAACATTTAAGTGTAACTCCCGCATCCGAGAACACACGACAATATAATTGATATCAATTTAAAGGTCAACCACTCCTCTTGGATACACTATAAACTTCTCGGGTCTATGTCCTTCAGGAATAAATATATACACTATAGAATACACATTTTGTCATTTTTTCACACAAAAGTCAGGGTCCATTTGACCCGCTAAATATTGACCGATCTTTATCAAAACAGGCATGCTTATTCTTTGGCCCGATCCCCTTTCTCCATGTAGAAATTTGCGATGTTTGGGCAATATTTGCGGCCTCTGGAGCGACATTCTGGTCGCTCAGACATAACTGTGGCCTGTATCGTGTTTACAAATTATAATGGACAGACGGACGGACACACATGTCTAGATCGACTCAGCTAGTCGAGATATGACGATCGGTATACTTAAAGGTAGGTCTAGGACAAATATTTCGCGGCGTTACAAACTCTTGGGGCTGCACAAAGCTATAATACCCTGACAACATAGTTGTGTAGGGTATAAAAATCCACTCCTCAGACTTTCCACGCCTTTTATAGACCCTCTTAAAAGATTTATATGTAAATTTTTTTCTATTAAAGGAGCTCGACTAGAAATTGCAATCCATCATTGTAATCTGATCGAAGACGATCATCATCATCATTAACATGACATCATATAAAAATCTGCTAGAATATTTAAGAGACATTAAGAAATTTGCAACAACAAAAAAATCCGAACATCAAATATTAATGAGCTAAACAAACTCAATTTCAAACAAAAAGAGGCACTTTACGAAACAAAAATCCATCAGAACAAAAATTGCATTCCCCAAACTTCTCTGGCCCACCCTCCTTTATTCTAGTCACAGAACAAAAACAACAACAACAATTGTTTATAAACAACAAAAAAGAGACCTTGATCCCGCATTAAAATTAAAAAGGCAAAAAATCTGCAGTCTATACATTTAGCACTGTCAGTTTTTGGCATGGCCATTAAAGGAGCTCCACTAGAAAATCGAAAAGAGGGGATGTGGTGGAGGGTGGCCCTCAGTCACTTTCAGGAGTTTTATGGCATTTCATTGTGTTCCAGCTGAAACATGTCTTTCGGTATGGATGGGTTGGTTGGTTGGTTGGCACATGAGAGGGCACTCCTTAAAAAAAACAGTGATCAGAACAAAAATAGCAACAATAACAACAACACCAACGATAAACACAACCAGGGCCGGGCTGGGTACCGCAAACAGATGATCATGACTTTGTTTCGCTTCATGCAGTCATGGCATTGGAAACGGTTGGAATTAATTGTTTGGCGTTTTGTTGGTGTTGTTCTGGTTGCTGGTACTGCAGAATATTCTGAATATTGTTGGTGTTTTTGTTGTTGTAGTATATTTTTTAAGAATCTCTGGTAAATCGATTCGATATGCTGTTCGTATTGCCCAGCAATGGAGGGGTTCAACAGATCTACATGCTAAATCGGAGGGAGAAGGAAGGGAGGGAATAAGAATACGAAGTAAAGGCATAAGAAGCAAGAATAAGAAGCACATTAATGGAGTATTCTATATTCGCAGCGTTTGCAGAATCGCTGACAGCAAATTCAAGTGATTTCTCTTTTTAGGAGGTAATTAACCCTCAAATGAGTGGGAGGTGTAGAAAATTATTTTTTTAAGGGGATTACA